CATATAATCCCTGCTAGAATAGTTCCTCTCACAACAGCAAATAAGAACATAGAGCTTTGTGCAGTTGGGAGTCAGCTGAGCTTTCCAGAGGACGTGTCACCTGCTGGGCGGCACATCCTTTGCAGCTGCCTTGGCGTTCATGTGTGCAGCCAGTCCCGCCCCACTGCACCTGAGCATGCCACTTCATCACCAGCTGGGAAAACAAGATGCCTCAGTGCATGAGCTCCTGGGAGCCTCATTGGATATTTTTACTCTTTCTGAGTCCCTACCCCATGTATTTATTTACTCTCCAAGAGGAGGAATCCTCCTTTCTCCAGTTACTCATTATAGAGAATCCTGGGGCATTCTTGCCTCAGGCTGGAGCTGTGGGAATGTTCCTCATGGAGGAGATAACACTACAGCTGGCTTTGAGCATCCTAGAGATCAAGGACCAGGCACACATTGCCAGGATGAGCTGGACTGGCTCAGGGCCTGGAGGTAAGGTTTTTCTCAGAAAGCACTCACGCATATACTTGGGTCTTCATAGAGCCGTGAGTCAGCCTCTGGTGTCCTTGCTTTTGTCTATGTCTCAAATATTCCATCATTGTAGACAGCAGTGTCCAAGAAGGGAGGAAATGGAGCTTGTAGATTCATAGCAGAACTTCTAGAGGGCTCCCCCACCCCCCACACGCCCTTTAGTCATGGCAAGAAGAAAGCTGTTTGTGTTTTCCAGCTACCAGAGTGGTCCACACTCTTAGACCTCAGGTTTTAAAATGCCTCATTTAAATACCTGCTTCTCTTGTCACGTCTTCTCTCTTGACTCTGTCCATTTTGCCTGCCTCTTAGAGGAACCCTGAAAATTACATTCGACCCACCTCTGTAATTCAAGAAGGTCTTTCGATCTATCTCAAGACTCTTAATTTAGTCAAGCATGCTAAGTCTCTTTTGCTGTGTAAGGCAAAACATTTACAGGCTTGAGTAATGGGGACGGGTGGGCAACATTGACTACCAGAGACTACACCAAGGCAATCAGCAGTATAAAAATAAGAGAAGCGGGGCAGTGGTGACACTCACCTTTAATACTGGCACTCAAGAGGCAGAGGCAGGCAGATCTCTGTGAGTTTAAGGCCTACCTGGTCTACAGAGAAAGTTCCAGGACAGGTAGAGCAGCACAGAAAATCCCTGTCTCAAAAGACAAAGAAACAACAAAAACAAAACCAACCAACCAGACAACAACAAACAAAAACAGAAGGCAAGGTCATTTTTACAATGTTAAATCCTGAATCAGCGTGTGGAGGGTGAGAATAATGTTGTGCTCAGCCCCTACTCCCTAGAATCAGGTCCCAAGGAAGGACTGGCACAGAGCAACATAGAGAAAAGGAAGCCAGAAGACAGGTTTTCGAGGACTACCTCTTATATCCGTCCAAGAATGGAAGTGTTCATATAATGCAATGGGACTGTTTAGTTTTGTTCACCTTCAAAGTCTGATGTCCTTTTGCCACCTTCAATAGCCATGTTTAGTAAGCAAAGTCCAGGCATCCCCAAGAATGTTTTCAGTATTTCCTGTGGATCTCATGTTGCCTCCCATCCCTCCTTGTTCAAATATCTTAGATACAAGGAAAACTATTTGTATTGATCTATGTACATCCTCTAACATACTTAAAATCACATGTAGGTTGCCTAAAATGCCAAGTACAGTGTAAATCCTATGTATATCACACTGCATTGTTTCAGGAATAGTGACTCAAAGGAAATGTCTGTTCACATTCGGTGGAGATATACCTTTCCCCCCAGATGTTTTTAAACTTCAACTATAGAGCCTACACATTTAGAGGGATAACCATTTATAAAGTAACTTTTTAAATTAAATTTTTATTTGTATATTAATTACAATTTATTCACTTTGTATGTAACTTTTTTTTTAAACCAATCACATGAAGAAATTAAATTTTCATCTAGGAGGCAGAGTGCTGTGATGGAAGCTCAGCTCCCTCTCTGTGTGAGCCAGTGGAAGTCTCTTTCCATTTTCCAGTCTGTTTTCTTTTCTACATATAAAAAAAGGAATTAATGTAAACTAATAATCCTCTGACCCGATTTTGCATTAGAGAATGCTGTGGCTTCTAGGGTTGAGAACTGCCTTCTCTGAATACCAGTTAACATGCTACCCACATGTTCTATCATTCCATAAATTGTATGGAAGTTTTTAAATGAAGTCTTAGGACAGAATTGTTGGACACATCTGACCTCTTTTCGGAATGGCTAATTCAACCCGATGAAGAAACGAGAATTAAGCATCTACTGCCTACAAAGCACCAAGTTAGGTCTCTCAGAGATTTCTGAACTCAAAGACCTTGCTTATCTGTGTGTTCACATGGGCAGATACACAGCCAAACAGCTGTTAGCAGCTGGGCACTGCACCTTTTATCTTCAAGGACAGCTTGTTCCGTGTTGTGAACTTCTGAGGTAGAATGGTGTCAGGTTTCACTTTTTAATATTTATTAAGTACTTCATATATATGCTAGGTACTATTCTCAGGGATTTATGAATGTTAGTCACTTACTCTGTAAATGGCCCTGGGAGATAAATGCTATTTATTGCCCCACTTCGAAATGAGGACAGTGAGGGAGAGAGCTAAAATAATTTAAGGTCACACTGAGTCAAACATGGAGCCTGTCTGAGGACTTAATGCCTGCTGCCACAGGGACATGTTGTCTGTGAAAATGTTCTTCTGGCATTTACACTTCAAATGGAGTTCATGGGGAATGTTCCCATTAAAATATTCATTGAAAATAATAGACAAACCCTTTACATAAGTTGTATGGTGGCAATTATGAAAATAATCAATGCAAAGCACAGATTACTAAAAATAGTACATGGTAAAAGTTAAAGGAAGGAAACATGTGAGATAGATGAGATTACAAGTGGTTTTATTTTCATGAGTATTGTCTCTGTATAATCTCATCCATCACTGACAAATAAATACTCTTAATCTTTTGTTATCAGAGAACACAGCTGACATCAGAGCTGTTGTTTTATGTGCTTTATTATGTGCTTTATGGCATTATTCCAAGAGCTTAAAGACTGTTAGCTCAATCTGCAAATGGCCATTTGAGACAATCATTCTTTCCTCATCTTACATAGTTTTGATTTCAAAAAGAGGCAGGTTACTGATTTGATATTTAGGGTAACTTACCAAAGTAATGGGATCTATAGTGATTTGATTATTTTTACTTTTGACATGCCATAGCTTTTCATAGATTTTTGTTTTTTTAAACTGATGCATAAAAACATAAAGACTGTGTATATTGATGGCTGCCATTTGGCACACCAACACATCAAAGCAGCAGATTCCTTTTAAAGTTTTTTTTTTGTACACACACATACACACATTCACAGATCTAGCTCCTCTTTGAGACCTTTACCTGTATTTGCCTTATTTAGTGGGATAGGGACTGTTATTAGCCAGATTTTATACAGATAATTAAGCAAGTTGCTTGAGAATGCATGGGCAGAAAGTGGTCCTGGAATGCGAGTTATGACAGAGCCTCTGTGCTTCCAATTGCAGCCCATCCACCCAGGCATGGACCCCAGACACTGATGCTTCTTTGTCTTCAGTTCTAGCCCTCCATCTTTCCCTATGAGCTTGATACTGAGAACTCTCCCAGCTCAGCCAATGTTGGTAACTTTCCTGGGGATTTAACCTACATATGGAATATTCCATTAGAGGTGCTCGAAAGCTCCTTGTAAAATCGCTCAGCTCTTTTCCAGCATTGGAAGAAAAGTCTCTACCTAAGGTCATGTATGCCAAAAGTGTCACTCAGCTTTTTCCTTTGGGATTAGTACAGCTGAAGCTCCACTTCTGACACTTCAGTTGAATTTTTCTCTTCTCCTTAATCCTCGGTACACATGGTCCCTCTACCTTGGCCAACCTGAAGTGTATCCTTTAGGACCATATGTGGAAACACAGAGCCTTCAATGACTTCTGCCCACTTGAAGGTATCTGTCAGTGCCAAATGTTCATGTCAAATTCAAACAAGAACAGAATTCCAACTGTCCATAGTGTCTACATTAGATCTGCCTGTAATAGCATCAATAGAATATCCAGCATTCTTGGTTAAAGTTATGGCACCATCCAAGAATGAAAAGAGTCACATTAGTTCATTGGTTTGGGCCAGGGGTTTTATTTTGGATTCTTGTCCTTTTCTAAAAGAGCCATTTAATCTCCATTTTGGTAGTGTCCTCTTGCATTTTCTGTTCTAAAGAACAGATATTATGTTTACCCTCTAAGGTCTAGAACTGAATTGGCTCAGGTCAGGAAATAGAGAGCATAGCAGAGCTGCCTGTGTGACTGACAGACAGGACCTGTGTTCAGTGTGCAATGTTCTATCACCATCCAAGAGGTTTGCAATTCTCAGGCTCTTTCTGTGCGTTGATACTTCAGATGCTTTTAGAGGGAGGAATTGGGTCCTTGGGATGTAAGGGAAGGGAGTCATACATATCCCTCATGAAAGATGCTATCAGTATCCCACACATGGGATCTCAGGTCAGAGCAGAACTGTATAAAAGGCAGAAGCTTCTCAGAGCACCTCAGTCCATTACTTTGTGAATGATCTACTCCAGTGCCTGAACCAGGTAGGACATCTCCCAGACCAGAGAGACTCTGATGCTGGTTTTCTGGGCAGTAGGGGCTTCTGGGTGGAGCTGAGGGAAATCTTAAAGATGAACAAAAGAAAAAGAAGGTTGGGAGGACGGGTTTCTCTGGAAGGGGAAGTAATGGATGATTGCGATTAGTATCTTTTTGATCTTACAATGAATTCATTTGAAAGAATTAAGTGTCTATATTAAGATCACTTGTATTTTTTTTTTCTAGAAGTGAATTTAGAAAGATTGGGTTTTAAAAGTTATAATCACCGTAGAGGTAAAATATTGTGAATTTGTAGTTCAGTCTTTAAAGCATCATTTTGTCTTGTTGAACTTAAAATCTCTGTATTATCTTTCAGTTTTATCCAGTTCCCTTTGCGATGTCCTGCCAGCAGAGTCAGCAACAGTGCCAGCCTCCTCCCAAGTGCAAGAACCCTACTTCTTCCTGCTGTAGCCTGGGCTCTGGCGGCGGCTGCGGCTCCAGCTCTGGGGGCTGCTGCAGCTCTGGGGGTGGCAGCTGCTGCCTGAGCCACCACAAGCCCCGATTCTCTTTCCGTCGCCGACGTCACAGCTCCGGATGCTGTAGCAGTGGGGGCAGCAGCAGCTGCTGTGGCAGTAGCTGTGGGAGCAGTTGTTGTAGCGGCAGCAGCGGTGGCAGCAGCTGCTGTGGTGGTGGTGGCAGCAGTAGTAGCGGCGGCGGCAGCTGCTGTGGCAGCAGCGGTGGCGGCAGTAGCAGCGGTGGCAGCAGCTGCTGTGGCAGCAGCGGTGGCGGCAGCAGCGGTGGCAGCAGCAGCGGCGGGGGCAGCAGCTGCTGTGGCAGCAGCGGCGGCGGCGGCGGCAGCAGCAGCAGCGGTGGCAGCAGTAGCCAGCAACAGTCTGGGGGCTCTAGCTGCTGCTCTGGAGGTTGCTGCTGACCTGGGGAAGAGGACCTTGGAAAGCAGCACCGCCGAAGACCCGCCAGCCAGAGTGTCTCCTTTTCTCTGGTTTTCCTGCAGAAATACTTCTAGAACTCTGTATGCCCTTCTTCATTCCCACAAAGCTCATCTACCATGAGGCCTTGAGGTCTCACCTCTGACATTTATTAGCTTTGATTTTTCTCTCAGACGCAACTGAGAATGAGATGTTGAAAAATCAGCTCTAAAGCTCTTTTCCGGGTAATAAAGCTTTTGATTCTTGATGTCATGCCCTCCCAATGTGGTCTTGTTTACCTCTTCCAACGCTCACCCTTCACATCAAGCCATATTTCCTTTCTTTATCTAAAGTGAGTATTTTGGTACCAAATCCACTTAAAACTCTGGGAAACACCATTCACCTAGTACTCTGAATTTCGGAACTTCAATTTTGGAAAAAGAACCACATCTGAGACCTGTGCCCCTTAAACCAACTCACACAAGGGGGACCAGGAATGGGTTGGGATGAGGCAGGCTGTACCCAGAAAAGCCCTATTCTGGGAAGGTGGCCTCCAAAAGGGAGCCATGCTTTGGAAATTTTACCTCTTAATCATAAAGAAGATGGTTGCCTGAAGTGCTCGTGTGGGCTCCAGTGAATAGACACACTACTATTTGTTGGGGAGCCAGGATAGCTGAATGTGGAGTATTTCTAAGAGGAGTAAGCTGGGAAGACAGGTGTGAAATGTTGGAGCCCATTTTTCTTAGATCCTAGAATCTTGTTTGAACAGAGAACAAAGACATCATCTCAGCCAAAGATTACCCTAATATGGTGGTAGTGGTGGTGTCTGTGTGTGCACGCAATGGAGTCAAGACACTGCAGCCATTGCGATTGGGTGTCCATGTAATATTCCTTTGGGATTGGGCTGGTTTCTTCAGAAGATACTAAAAACGTTTATGAGAGAAGAGATAATTGCAAATCAGCCTTCCTACACAAAATAAGCAGCTAGCCCCTCAGTTGATAAGAGTTAACAGTGAGGCATAACGTTGGTGTAAGACTGATGCACTTGACCTCTCTTCATCCTGATGCCTATTGCCCTGTTTTTGTTTTTGTTTTTCTTCACCTTTTGCACAGTTTTCCAGAGGAGATCCTTATACTTTATGACTTCCTTCTCTTTTCTAACATTGATCTCTCTTCTTGGAATGTCTCACCTCTCCTTGCCAAGAGGCGCTCTGGGTACAGTTGGCAACCTGTTATTCAGGCTCTAAAGCCACGGCAAACGAAACGGGTATCTTCTATGACTTGTCTTTCCTTGTCTGTTTCCTCATGCCACACCTAGCAAATGCACCCCAAAACCTGTCTCTCACTCTTAACTAATCCAGGAATTCTTAGTCTTAGATTCTCTTATGTCTCATACTCATGGTTGTGTGGCCAGGTAGTTGCAATGATTGGAAGGCAGTGCAGAGGCACTTGACCCCTAAAGTTTACTCCGATTTTAAAAATCAGCTAATCAAAAAGCAACTATAACTGTGGGAACGTTTGAGCCATTGTCTTTTTAATTCTCCCCTTCTTCTTTCTTTGCTCTTTAATTTTATCCCTTTCCTTTTGTTTTGATTTGTCTTTTTCCTATTTGACAGAAGTCCTTGGGAAAATCTATCTTTTAGGGAGATGAGATCAGAAACAGAAATCCGTGGGCTAGCCAGCTTGCTATTTTACAATAATCCAATACCCCTCACCCATTTTTGACCGAGCTCCCCAGGTTTATATTATGGGAATATGGTGAAATGACTTCTTTTAGTCTTGATGATCTCTTAACCTTGCCTGGGTTATTCTTCCTGTCAACAGTGTCAGGAAGAAACCACCACTGGGATTCTCATCCCTACAATCATCTTCACTCAATGCTCCCTAGAAGCATCTGGACAAACATAGAGGGTTTATCACACAGCCTGTGGCCTGCTATGCAAGTTTAAGAGCCAAGGGCCATAGAGATGCAAATAAGACAATAACTGATAAGCGTATAGCTAAACATGAATAGATGTATGAGAAAGCGGAACTGCGCGTGTGTTCTCTTCGCGCCATGACTTGGTGTGTGTGTGTGTGTGTGTGTGTGTGTGTGTGTGTGTGTGTACAATGTTTAAAGGAGAAAAAGGACCCCAGACCTCTCCTTATTTGAGCCTCAGGCCTTCTCTGAGCACACACACACATCCCTCCCAGCTAGGAACAGTGTCCTGTTTGAAAAGTAAACACACCACAGCAATCCTGGCACCTCTGTGAAGTGACTTGGATACCCACGTGCACCACCTACAGTGCTATCTGGGTGATGAATGCCTCTGGGATGTAAGCGTCAGCTGAGCATGTCTATTGAGAAATGGGCTCCTCCCAAGTCCCCGGAACTTGCTGGAATCTTATAAAAGGTTCCCTGGCCATACACTGCTCAGTCTTCTGCCTAGCAGGTGGCAAGTTTCAGTTGGAGAACTGAGTGATTTTTCTCGGAGAGCCAAGGACTAGTAAGTATCTAAGCCGGGTCTGGGGGAGGAAGCAGGGAAGAATGGAAGACAGAAAGGAGGAGATAGGACACAGCCAGAATGCAGCGGTGGGAAGACAGGCCTGGAATTGGGCTTCTAATGCGTCAGCCTTTTATGTTGGCTGGGAAGATGCAGAGGTGCTGGCTTTTGAAAGGTTCCCCAGTCTGTGAACGAGCTGTGAGTTACCGTGTTTTCAGGTCTTCTGGTTAGGTTATTCCTGCTCTCTGCTATGACGACTTTTCCTTATAATGTGGAGGACAGGCAAGAAAGAATGTGCGGAACACGCTTTTGTGTCTTCGGAATCTCTGTAACCGGGAGGGAGGGATGCGGTCTTCCAGCGGTTTCTGACAGATGTGATGCTTGTGCTATATTACCTGAGAGTACTGCGTGGAAGGCTGTGTCGTCAAAGCACAGTGGGGAAAGGGCTAGACCCAAGAGAAGAGTTTTGATTGAGTCATACATTGCAGTCGTATTCTCTTTATTTTCCACTATGGAGACCTTGGATGGTCCTTATGCCAGTTAGGGAACCTGTATTTAGCCTTTCCATATTCTGTTTCCTGTTTTATGCCCGTGCCACTTGAAGCACCTGTTTTGGGTTTGTTTCTTTGCTTTCCTTCTGGTTTTTTTTTTGCTTTTTTTTTTTTTTTTTGGGGGGGGTGTTTGTTTGGTTTTCTTTTTCTTATCCATCTTGCTTCAAGTCAGACTGACTTGTCTTCTTAGCCAAATGCCAAAAGTTCTGACTTCCACTATAGAAAGAAGAGAAAGGCGGGATTTTTTTAATTTATTTTTTATTTTTTTATATTAATTACAGTTTATTCACTTTGTATCCCAGCTGTAGCCCTCACCCTTCTTCCCTCCCAACCCTACCCTCCTTCCCTCATTTCGTCCCCTGCCCCTCTTTAAAGGTTGTCTTTCTTTCAGATTTGCCTGGACAAACGCAGTGATGTCTCAGCAAGGCGCCAAAGGCTTTTCCAAAGGGTCTTCCCAGGGCTCCGCCCCCTGCTCCGCCCCGACGCCCGCCCCCGCGCCCTCCTCCTCCTGCTGTAGCCGCGGCTGCTGCGGGGGCGGTGGCTGTGGCTGCGGTGGTGACTCCGGCTGCTGTGGCTCCAGTTCCACCGGCTGCTGCTGCTTTCCCCGGCGCCGCCGGCAGCGCGGTGGCGGCTGCTGCTGCTGCAGAGGAAGCCAAAGGTCCCAACGCTCCTGCAACAACCAGAGCTCAGGCTGCTGCGGTGGCTGCTGAGAGCTCACAGAGCTGTGCCGAACAGCTGGCATCACACAGCGGCCTCTGCTGCTCTCACCCTGCCCTCCATAGTAGTAACAGGCAGGACCGGCCTAGGAGTTTGGTCCCCCTTAAGCTAACTGCACTTTGATGTTCGGAAACCTCATTCTGTTCTCAGGCCTGTCCCCTAATGTTGATTTTCCTCCCAGGGAATTCAAAAGTCAGGGGTGAGACCTCAGACCATGCTTTGGGCAGGGACTTGTGCACAGCAGTGTTCAACACAGGTCTACTGATTTGATTGTCGCCTGAAGACGTCATAATAAAGCTTCTACCTCCTACGAACGCTTCTTTTCCTATTTATTCCTTCATCGGTGCCTTCGTTTTTCTTATTTTATTGCCCTTTATACCACCCCTCAGAGGCTCATGCCTGAAGGAGAACACGCCAACGGCTCTAAGTAGTCTAAGGATTTGAGGTTGGCACCTCATCCACTTTGCGTAATGACTCACTGAGGTGGGTGCCGCCGTGCCCACTTTACAGAAGGGAAACTAATGTTAAGCTGAGAGTCGCTTTGGTATGCCTGCAAGATGGAGCTGACTACAAGATTGGAGAGCTCATTCTCCTAATTGCTCTGCTGAGCTTGATCTGCTCTAAGTGGTCAGGAACCTTGTGTGCCTCCCCCGAGCAACCCCTCTCCCTCCCCAGAGTAATACCTGCCTCCTCCGCAAGTCCAGGCAGCTGAGGGTCTCTAGTTTGATTGGGTTGGCAAATTCTGGAGTTTGGGATTCAGTCCTGCTGAATCTTCTTTCTCTTCTTTCACCTTTTTTCCTTCTCCTCTACTTCCTCCCTTTCTCCCCTTCTTTCCTACCCTTTCCCCTCCCCTCTCTCCTTTTCTTTCTCCTCCCTCTTCACAAACACCGCGTTTTTCTTCTTCTGGTGGAAGACCATTGACCTTTGCTTGCTGGGTGAGAAAATCTTCTATGCCTACCAGGAGCCTGGACCTCACCCTCTTTTAGGTCTGATCTGTGCGGCTGAGGCATGGCCAGGAACCACAGGTCTCCCCTGGTTGTGGCAGTGAGCTGCACGGGCATAGGAAACCCGGTAAACATAGAATTTACTGTTCATGTGAGGTTAGGCCCCTTAGCCTAGTGTCTTTTAGGTTTAAAAAGGGTGGTATAATAATGGTGAAATAATAATAATAATAATAATAGCACAAAAATAGCTAACATTTGTTGAACACTAGTTTTGTTCCAGACACAAGGTATAGGACATAATGTATACATGTATATCAATTTAATTTTAATGACCTCAAAGAAAGGTTTTGATTTCCCTAGTTTTGTTTTGTTTTGTTTTGTTTAAGTGTGAGTAGCCTGGGATTCAGAGACTCCAGGGGACTGGTGTAAGGTTTCACAGGTAATGCATGTGCTAGGCTTCTGATGGTAAGTGGTGGGGAAAAGACTGAAATTGAGATCTGTAGGTATCAAAGTCAGTGCCATGGAATTCACTCTACTGCAATCTTGGAAACCACCACCGCCCAGAAGAAGGGACACTTGGACTTCCATGGACACACCCAAGCTCTTAGAAAATTGCAGCTTGACTGCTCTGCGTCAGTGACCCAGTGACTGCTGAGCTCTGTGTGGCATCTGCCCAGCTGCTGAAGGCATTTGCTCAGAGGCAAAGTCAGAAATTCACCATTGATTCACTTCAGACGTCAACCCATGCTGGGGAGGCACAGAAGGACACTCCTACTCTGCCTCTCACTTCCGGCTCTGAGAGTCTGTGATTCCTAGGAGGCAGTGCTTTGTACGCACTGTTTACAAACAGATGAGGTCACCGAGGACCTGCCTCCTCCATGCCAGTCAGTGATGTGTAGTGAAGCAACAAGCCCTATGACTTGCTGGACAGCAAGGCAGGAAGGGTGGGCTTGCCTGACTCACAACATACTGGAATGCCCGTGTGAGGAGCAGGGAATACAGGACTGAGTTTTAGGAAAGAGAGATGGTGATTCATTAGGAGATCCATGAGTCTGTAGCATACATGTCTTCAAACATGGATACATTGATATCCATCAAATGGCCAGATGTGAGGATGGCAGCCCCACTGGGTTCCCACTTATTCATGAAATAAGTGGGAGACATGCAAAAACACATGTAGGTAAGGGTTCTTTCTTTCCAGGCAGCCTGAGGCTTCAGGTGTTTAAGGTGTCCTTCCAGTCACGTTGACACTTAGACATTATCTTCACTAGAAAAGAAACCTGGGATTCTAACTGTTTGGCATACAGTCTTATACTGTGAACCTGGCATTCTTTTGTTCACTACTTAAAACTCTGCCACAAGAGAAGGGTTTCCACTGATCTTGATAAGAAAGCTGAAACACAGAACTATCTTAAAATGGCACAGTTTCTAATTGGAGGACAATGTTTTGAACAGAGTGTTTCTGACTCCAAAATCAACATTGACACCTTTTTTGCTCTATGAATTTCTAAGGAGGGAAACCTTGGATAGAAGCAGGAGAAAGAATCCAAGGGATTAGTGGCATTAAAAATAAATATCTGATAACATACCCTCAGAGGCGAGAGCAAAGGCTAGGCTACAGGGGGCTACAAATGGCAATTCTAGGATTTTAACAGTGTGTGCTTGTGGCATAGAAAATGGGTCTTAAGAAGAATTTGGAAAGACAGAAGTTGACCTACAGAATATGAACAGCAATGGTTAGGATGCTTTGGAAACCGAGAAATATTATATCAATAGGCAGCTACAGTGACCCAAGCTTGAGATAGGCATCTGAAACTGGCATTGGGCAAGAAAAGGAAATGACAGATGGGAAAAGCATTTGTCTAGAGAAAAGAATAGAGAGAACTGGGTGCAGCATTGGGGCGTATGGAGAAAAACCAACTGAGGTGTCATGGAGGCTTTCTGTGTGGTCACTAGGAAATGACAGTAACACTGACAGAGAAGTGGAGAAAGAGGGAACGGATGAAAGAGGAAGCGGGAAGTCCTACCCATGATGTGATGGGTTTGAGGAACTGCCAGGGCACATAATCTTTGAAAATTGAATTGACAACATCTAGATGAGGAGGAATAAACTCTGTGGAGCTGGGAAACCAACTGTTGGCAATGGATGTAGTTTCCCTTCTGCAATGAAAGTTATATGAAAAAAAAAAAAAAGACCTGGTCTGTCTTACTCATCACAGAAAACGCGTGTAAAAATAGAAAATTACACACTGAACACTGGAGATGCCTGATCAATATGCTTTGGATTAACGCGCTGGCAAAACAGAAAGCTTAAGAGGTGAGTTGAGGGGACTGAGCAGAAAGGAAGAAGCTAATTCTAAAACAAGGTCAAACATGAAGGCAGAAAACTCACTCAGGTTTTACCTGGGTGGTTCATCAGCCTGCTTTCAAGCCTTGGGTTCTGGAAAACAAGGCTGAAAGGAACAGAACAGAGCAAGGTTGCAGAAGGTAAACATTAGTCACATGGGGTCTTCTTTCCCATTGCCTAGCCAATCTTCCCATCATTAGACATAGTAAGACATTCCATCTGGAGGGACATGAGTTCCTCCTTAATTGGGTAGAACTTGTTAAACAGGCAAATTGGTATCACAGTGAGTAAGGCAGAAATCCTCTCTGCTGTGGATGACGCTGCAGCAGATTTGAATGATTTGACTCTGGTAAATCTGAACTGTGTCATCTTGCCTCAGGAAAAAATGGCAGCTCTAGAAAGTCAAGTATCACCTCCTGTCTTATACTGACCAGGGTGAAGACAATAGCTTCTAATCTATCTTATTCCGTGATGCATCTTGTTAAGAATGTTGTTAGAGAGACCAGGGAGATGGTTCAGGAAGAAAGAGGAACTAAGTTCAAATCCCAGGCACCTCTGTAAAAGAAAGCAAAAAGCAAACTCTGGGCATGGCTGTGCATGCCTGTAACCCTAACCCTGTGGAGCAGAGACAGATGGATCCTGTAACAGCTTGGCGTGCAGCTGGCCTAGGTGAAATGCTGAGCTTCCAGGTTTCAAGGCAGCGAGAGGAAGGCAGTAGAGGAAGACCGTGCGCATCTTGCTCTGACCCCCACATTTGTGCCTGCATGCACACATCCGAGCACTCATGTGTACCACACATGCAGCACGACACTCACAAATCACAGACAGGCAGTGTGTGTCTGCCAGCTTTATTGTCGATGATGTGGCTGTGTTGGTTCTGTTTATTTGTGAACAAAATTTGTAGTGTTCAAAGGCCATTTTTTTCTCATTCACCCTCAAAACTATTTTTCTGCCAGTTTGAAGTACTACATGTACTAAAAGCTAGGAGTAATTAACCTTCTCCTTCTGTTCCTGCTTTTATATGATTTTTTGTTCATTCATCACTATAATCTTTAATTGATTAAAAATGGACAATTGCTCACCATATCCTCGGCAGTTTGTGATGTAAAAAAGTCTTAATGAGAGAGTTAAATATAAGTACTTGAAGTCACCACATGAAATCAGCATTACACACAGGTGACGATTCACACTGGTCTCAGCACGCGCACACACACACACACACACACACACACACACACACACACAAACCATTGTTTGGATTTAATGCTGAAGATTGTGTTGGACAAGCTGGGGACACAGAAAATATTTCAGTTAAAGTAGATAACACCAAGGGTGAGCACAGAGAGATAAACATGTGTACTGTAGCAAACAATTTTATGAACGGACCTCAAGGAGGTCAGAGAAGGTGAGATTATACAAATAGCTGATCAGGGGACAAATGAGGCAAACCCTTACATGGTTTCAAAGTGTCCGGAACTTTATCCTAGAGGTAGGGTGGGTCATAGCATTTTAACACTTTATTTATTTAAGAATTTCCCACCTGTATACAAAGTATTTTGATCACATCTAGCCACCATTTACCCTCTCTTCTGTTTCCCATGGGCCTCTTCTCCAATACATCCCCCACTAACTTCATGTCCCATTCTTTGAAACAGAAGCTACGGAGTAGGACAGTTGGTGCTATTCATATGAGTACAGGTAT